CCAAAATGATAGTTACGTAAGAAGGGAGTGTGACATTGATATCAATGTTCAAGTATTTGTAGCCAGTTGCAGTTAACGGATATCTTCTCTCGAGAATGCGTACGGTAGGATGATGTGCGCTTTGATGTCTGTAATTCTGGAAAAAAGAAATTGGCAGATGGAAAAGAGAGACGCAAAGGGAAAAGAATATCTACCTATTTGATATATTATCTTTATCTGGATTCACATCAGTTGATTCGTCTATTTTTTTCTTCTTCGTGCTTTGTTCATCGCGATCGTCCTGTTCCATAAGATAATTTATAATATCCGCGTTATTGAGCATTCTCACGATCGGGAAAAAAGTTTGGAAAGTGCGTACGAACGATGTTGTCGGAATGATCATTCCTTTCGTACTGATCGTTTAAAAATTATTATAGAATATATTATATGTGTCCTTTCATCCTTCCTCGTCTTATTTCTCGGTGTGTTTTGTCAATGTGTATTACTCGATTGAAATAATCGATCTAAGATCTCCTGCATTTGTTGTAATAACCCGTTTCGCAAACATTCGATGTTGAGTACGTTTATATTAAATTTACCAGCCTCTGTTATGGTTCTCGTGAACTCGTTAAATGTGTAAAATTGTTGTTGTTTGGCAAAGTACAGATTACCATTTATATATCGGAAGGCCAAGGTCGGAGCTGGCGGTATTCCTGGGAATACCGCTTGCAACGGTTGATACGAGCGAACAGTCATACTAAATACATTCGTCTATCTGCGCCACGTCGTTACCATTGAAAATCGCGTAGGTTTGTCCTCTGTTAGTATTTACTACGGTATCGATGAAAGTGTTCGGGGGAAATCCTAGACTCGAGAGACGTTTTGGCCAACCTTCTTTCAATTTGAAACTGGGGTACTTGATCATGTAGACAATATTATTTATAAACAGTACTAGTTCACCCGAAGGTCTTTGATACGCGGCTGATGAGGAGAAATTCTCCGGAAGGAAATCCATGCAGCTGTTTAGTATGTATGGTCCGTCGTATTTTGTATCATCTATATTTATCGACCATACGTAACGTTGGTACGTGACGAATATTCGATGATGCAATACCAATATCGTATCTACATATTGTAAACTAGAGAGATCTATATACTCGGGTTTATCTGTTGTAATTTCAGTAGTTGATGGTGGTGTTGTTGTTGACGTGGTTGTGTAGTTGTTGGTTTTGGATTTTTATCTCCATAGAGTTGTTGAATGGCTAAAATGTCCTCTATGTTGAGTCTAACGATTTTATCCTTATTATTAGCAATGACATATGCGAACATTATGGAATCTTCACGCGAACTGTGTGTTAATCCTAATGCGTCCAATTTCATGCATTAACGTGTTAAGCAGATAATCCTTGTTACTAGCAGATTTTTCGGTTAGATATATCTGCCACAGTTCTGCAGCATCCACGTGTATTTCAGCGGTGTAATTGACAACATTTGAAGGATAGAACGCGTGAGCGAGTATTCCAGATCCATCGAACGAGGCGGAGCAAATCTCTTCGCTATGTTTACGATCAGCGTACGTGTGTGTGCCACTACGATAAGATATTAAGATGTCGGGATTTAACGTTTTACGTTGGAACGACGAATTAAAGACGAATTCGCTGCCTATAGCGAGAACGCGAATGCGGTAGTTTTCAAGATGTCCACGTCCGCTAAATGGAAGTTCCACGTGAGATGTGTTTTTGCCCATTTCCTCCTACCTGTATTATGCTCCTGTACTTCTCTCGAGAATGCGTACGGTAGGACGGTGTGCGATTTGAGGTCTGTAATGAAGGAAAAAAGAAATTGGCAGATGGAAAAGAGACGCAAAGAATATCTACCTATTTGATATGTTATCTTTATCTGGATTCGCATCAGTTGACTCGTCGACTGTTTTTTTCTTCTTCGTGCTTTGTTCATCGCGATCGTCCTGTTCCATAAGATAATTTATAATATCCGCGTTGTTGAGCATTCTCATG